CAGGGCCAGGATCCCCAGACCAGACCCCAGGGCAGGGCCAGGGTCCCCAGACCAGACCCCAGGGCAGGGCCAGGATCCCCAGACCAGACCACAGGGCAGAGTCCTGATCCCCACACCAGACCCCAGGGGAGGGTGATGATCCGGAGACCAGACCCCAGGGCAGGGCCAGGGTCCCCAGACCAGACCCCAGGGGAGGGTGATGATCTGGAGACCAGACCCCAGGGCAGGGCCAGGGTCCCCAGACCAGACCGCGGGGCAGAGTCCTGATCCCCACACCAGACCCCAGGGAAGGGTGATGATCCGGAGACCAGACCCCAGGGCAGGGCCATGCCCCCCAGTCAAGGGGCAAAGACCCGGCCAGTAGGGCCCTGAAGCTCATCCAGCCGAGGTTCTGATGCCGGGCCGGGGGTCGTCACCATGCAGGGCCTGGGGACAGGGTATGTGGGTGGGGGGGTGGGCTTAGCCCTTGGTGCCAGGCTTGGGGACCCAGAGCCGGCCCTGCACCTGCTGCCCTGGGGGTCCCAGCCCTGGGACGTTCGGGCCCAGCACAGGCGGAGGAGCTGGCTGGAACGCCCCTGCAGGGAGGAGACTGAGGCCCCAAGACCCAGAAAGTGGGAGTCTGGGGGTGGGAGAGCTGGTGGGACTCAGAGGAGGGGTCCGGCCACACCCCTTCCAGGACTTCAAAGCTGCTGGCCTCGGAGTGTGAGATCTGCAGGGGGCTGAGCCAGGGGGGGCTGGTGGGGTGAGGCCCCAGACCTCCGGGCCTTTAATATGGTTATTCCTCTCCTGTCTCAACTACCTGCGAACAGGCCCACCGGGCCCATTTCCTCCCCCTCCAGGGCAGCGGGAGGGGCTGTAAACTCCCTGGAGAGGCGGAGGGGCCAGGCCAGGCCGCCCTGCTCTGCCTTCTGAGTGGGGGGCTGGGACGGGCTGCAGAGGGGGCTCTGGATGGGATATCCTGCGGCAGCAAAACCCAGGAGCAGAGAGGCCCTGGGGAGACGCCACTCTTGCACTGGGGGGAAACTGAGACCGGCTAGCTGAGTTGAGGGTTTTGGCCCCTCATTCACTCAGGCTCTTTCCAGCCCCCCTGGGCCATATGCCAGGCCTGCCCGTGGCCCCATCCTGGCCCCATTCTGGTGGGGTTCTGCCTCTGTCGGTCCTGTAGCCATGGAGAGCTGAGACCATCTCCATGGTGGTCTTGCTCCCAAGCGCCCAGGGGGCCTCATGCCCAGCACCCAGAGGCCAGAGCCTCCTGACATGCTGTGTGTCCTCAGGCCAGCACCTGGCCCTCTCTGGGCCCCTGGGGGACAGAGCCTGGATGCTGGGGGTTTGCAGCCCTGTGACACAGAGGTATGGGGGCCAGGCATGCTGAACCCACCTCTGGTGGACCCCCCAGGGTGACCCATCTGCTCCCCTTGCAGGCTCTGCCCCTGCGTCCTCCCTCATGACCTCCCACCCCACCCACCTCTCCAACCCTTTCATCTGTGGAGCCCCCAGCACCTGGTTCTCAGCAGGTGCCAATTAGGGTGGCTCCTGCCTGGGCCCTGACTCAGACGTGCTATAGGCTGTGCTGTGTGCTGTGGACTGAGCCCAACGGTGGCTGGAGTAGGGCGCCTGTCACCCCTACCTCCAGGGCCTGAGCCTGTGCAGCGTTTCCTGTCCAGCTTTGCAGCCCAGGATGGCCTGAGGGCTGCGTTCTGAGCTCCCCAACCGGACTCACCCCCTGGAGGAGATTGGCTGCCCACACTCCTGCCTCGGCCTTGGCTCTGTGCACTTAATCACAGGCTCCTTCTTTATAGAGCATCTGCCCACAGCCCACCTGATTTAGCTGACCCCCGGGGGCCCCAGCCGGGAATCCCCAGGGGTCAGCTACAGCACCAGAGCAGGGGGTGACCCAGCCTGGAATGGGCCTGGTGGGAGAGCAACCAGCAAGAGGCCGTGGCCTTGGCGGGGGGATGTGGGAGAGTCAGCCATGACTTGGGGTGTGCTGGGAGGGGTACCCTTCCTGCCCTGGGTCTGCGCCCCCTTGTCCGGGACCCCCTTCCTGCCCTGGGTCTGCGCCCCCTTGTCCGGGACCCCCTTCCTGTCCTGGGTCTGCGCCCCCCGGCCAGGCCCCCCGTCCAGGCAGCTGCGGCTTTCCTGTCTGCAGAGGGTGATTCTTCCTCCCTGTGCTCCTAGCCCATCCCCAGCCCATAGGGCCCTGACGCCCACTGCGGAGCTGGCTGCACTGGGCTTCTCTCCCTGGTGAGGCCTCCTCCTGCCAGTCCCCGGCCCCCTCCCTTCCAGCAAATGGCCCCTGCAGGGTGGGGGCTGGACCTTCAGCTGTCAGCTTCCTGGTTATCTCCCTCCCATCCCCCATGTATCCCAGACTGTCCCCCCACCCCTGATTCCTCAGCTTCTTCCTTCCCTGTAGGTTGGTCTGGCTGGATATCAGGGCAGGGCACAGAGGAAGGGCAGATAGGACAGGGACCCTGCACCTGGCTCGGAGGGGTGAAGGTGTGGCCTCGGCAGCCTCAGTTTCCAGAGGCTCCACTCAACCCTGTACACCCCACATACCCCGAGTTAGGGTGGATGTGGGTGATAGCCATGGAGGGGCCATGGGAGGCTCCAGCCAGCAGGATGCCCTGCCCGTCCTGGGGGCTCTCCCTGCCTGGCCTGGAAATGCAGGTAGTGGGCTCCCAAAGGCAGGGCCGGCCCATCCCCAGCCCGAGGTCCTGAGCATGGTGCTGGGATGCAGCCCACCATATGCTTAGAGGCTGCTGACCCTGCCAAGCCTTGCACACTGGAGTTACGTGCTACCACAGAGGGGAGGCCAGGCAACCAGGGTCGCCTCTGGCCCCTGGCCTGAGGTGGACAAAAACAGGTAGGAGCCCCTGGGAGATCTTGGCCTCGTGCGGTGGCGCTCTACCAGCAAGGGGTGTCCCTGTGGCCTTCATGTTGGATTCCCACCACATGCGCTGTGACTTCTAAGTTGGCTTTGGCCGGAGGCAGGAGGAGAAAAGCACCCTGATTTCCTGGCCCTGTCCGGGCTGGCGAGCCTTGGGTTGAGGGGGTGTGTCTTGCCTCCCAGCTAGGCCAGACTCTTGGAAAGCCCTGTGCTGGGCCACGATGGGGACCCCATCTCTTTTCTTTGGTGACCCTCCCTCTTCCCCTGGACTTCCAGCCCCTGGAGGCCCCAGCAGAGGCCCCGGGGGTCCTCCCGTCTTGGCCTGTGGACCTCTTCCCTCCCAGAGGGCCACCACCAATCCAGCCCCTGCGCCTTACCAACCCACTGCCAAAAATCCAGTACAATGCCGTCTCGTGTCATTGTTTCTTCTTTTTGTTTTTTTGTTTGTTCTTTACTTTCCCCCAATTGTTTGAAACTCATAAGCTATAACTAAAATAATTTCTTTCCTAGAAAGAAAAGGAAAACAACAACAGCACATTGTTTGTCTAGCTCCAGTGTATGGTGGATATAGCAGCATTGGAAATAAAATTAAAACCACAGACACAAAAATCAAGGCAGAGGGAGGTCACATCCCCAGAGGCGTGCAGGTCATCGTGCTGCACCGTCCCCTCCCCCTGCCTGGGTGTGGGCCCTCGGGGCCAGGGGCTGGGGGACATTTCACAGTGGCAGAGGTTGGGCGAGGAGAGGTCTCCGCATGGCAGCACCCGGTGGAAAGCCCCTGTGGGCACTGGCCCAGGGTCCAGCAGCAACCTCGTGTTCCATGGCGGGGTGGACGAGTCAGACGGAGACGAGGAGCCGCCAGCCAGAGACTCCAGGATGCACAGAGCGTGCAGCCGCAGGGCCTGGGGTCGGTCCTGGCCATGGGGGCTAGCAGGGAGATCACCCCTCTGGGGGTTGTGGGGCCTCCGCCCGCCGCGTGGGTGGGGACTCCCCTCCCCAAGCCTCCCCAACAAAACCACCCAGATCAAAGTGAGCCTCCGAGGCAGGGTATGGTGCTGGGCAGGGCCCGGGTGTTAGCTCAGGCCAGTTGCTTGGGCATCCTTGGGGTCTGAGCCTCCTTCCCGCCTTCCCCTTAGGAGGGACTGTGGCCCAGACGGGACAGGCTGGGGCAGGAACTGGAGGAGACTGTGCTCCTCTCCTGTGGATGGGAGATGTGAGGCCAGGGAGGAGGGCAGGCCAGGGGCCAGTAGAGGTCCCTGCTGGTCAAGCCAAGAGTGGGGCCTGGCTGGGGCCTGGGCGACAGTAGGACTGGTCCCTGGGAAGATGGCCCAGGGGGTCTGAGGCCCAGGGCAGAGCCAGGCCTCAGGGTCCAGGCCCCTCTGCTGCTGGGCTCCACGTCCTCTCCCCAGGCAGCACTGGTTCCTGGGGTTCGGCAGGGTGAGGACTGGCTGTGCGGTAGCGTTCCGTGTTGGGGCTCTGGCAGATGCCAGGCTGAGGGAGGGGTGCCACCAGGCCTCCAGGCCCCTGAACTCTTCCGAAGCACTGGACTTGGAGGCTGGACCGCAGGGCCCAGGGGAATGGGGTGGGAGGAGATGCCAGCCCGCGGGGTCTCCACGGCTAGTTCCCCCACGACCTGCGCTCCACACAGGCGAAGTGGGGGTAGAGGGGCCCTTACAGATGGGCTGCTGGGGAGGAGGACGGCAGCAGGGAGCCCCGCCCCCAGGGAGCCCCGCCTTCTCCCCACCCGGAAGCCCCACCCACGGAACCCCGCCCATCCAGGGAGGAACCCCATCCAGGGGTCCCCGTGCAGGGAGTCCCGCCCCCGCCTTTCTAGGGAGAAGTCCCGCCCCATCCAGGAGGCCCACTCGGAGGCCCGCCCCCAGAGAGGAGCCCCGCCCCATCCAGGCAGGAAATCAGCGCTTGTCGGGCGGACTCCGCCCCCATCTGGGAGCCCCAGTTGGGGCCCCGCCCCCGTCGGGAATAGCCCCGCCCCCACCCGGAGAGGCGCCCCGCCCCCGCCCTATCCAGGGAGGAGCCCCGCCCCTGCCGGAAATAGCCCCGCCCCTGTCGGGAGGAGCCCCGCCCCCGTCCAGGAAGGAGCCCCGCCCCCATCCAGGAAGGAGCCCCGCCCCCGTCCAGGGAGGAGCCCCGGCCCGGCCCGCGGCCGCTGGCGCTACTTGCAGGTGTGCACGTCGTAGACGCGCGCGCACTCTTGACAGCTCACGTAGCAGCACCAGTGGAAGACGCAGTGGCACTTCTCGCGGCGCCGCTCGGTGCGCGCGTTGTGGCCGCGGCCACAGCACAGCAGGTCGCAGCCGTCGATGCCGTGCGAACTCACGTTGCACGTGCGGTCGCGGGTGCCGAACGAGCCGGTCTCGGCGTTGGGCTCGCAGAAATTGGGCGAGGCCTCGTAGTACACCAGGTCGCGCTCCGTGGGCACCTTGAAGTAGGTGTAGCGCGGCCGCAGGGTCTCCACCCAGCCGCGCGACTCGCGGTGCTTCTCCACCACCATCTCCGAGGCGCTGTCGTACTTGTCCTTGAGCAAGTCGCCGATGGCGCGGAAGTCGGGCTGCGACCACCAGCACGTCTTCACCTCGCAGCTGCCCGACAGCCCGTGGCACTTGCACTTGAGATGCATGTGGCTGGCGATGGCCTGCAGGGGCGCGCCGAGGGGCGTCAGGGCGGGCCCTAAGCACCCCACTCCCCGGTTCGGTTCGTCTGCGCGGGGGTCCGTCTTCCCCTCCCCCCCGGGGTGTGCTCCTTGCCTTCGGCCCCCCGCCCCATGAGCTCCTGGCAAGCCCAACGCAACCTGTCTCCTCCATAGAGGCCCTTCTCCGGGTTTCCGGCGCCGCCTCTTCGGTGCGGGGCAGGTGCCTGTGCAGGTCCGCGCCCTGGCAGACCCAAGATCCCCGGAGGGCAGGGCTGGGAGCCTCACCTCTCTCCGGGCTGGGTCTATTTCTACAGCCTTTATGACTGAGTGAGGGAAGGGAAGGCACAGTAACAGTAACTGACGGTCTGGTCGGGGCATGCGGGAGGGAGGACATGATGCTGACCTGGAGAGCCTAAGACGCAGCCCAGAGGACATGTACATGGCGGCAAGTCTGGGGGCTGACCTGAGCGCACGTAATGGGGGTGGCTTGAGCAGAGCACCTTCAGGGCCCAGGAAGCTGGGTTTATGGGGCTGTAAGGGAATTCCAAGAGGAGGGAGGTAGTGTGGGGGACAAGGCTGGGGGACTTTGGGGTCCTGAAGGCCAACAGCCACAGGGCCTGGCTGAGGAATGGGTTTTTTCCCTTCTCTCTTTGAGGGAAGGGATGGGGTTGGGGGCGAAGGGACGTGTGACTCAATCTGACTGTCTATGGTGGACACCTACCACCACGAGCCCTGGAGATGTGGCTGGTCCAAAGTGCACTGTGCTGAATGCTGGCTCTCACAGAGTCCCCAGACTTCATGCAAGAAGAGGGTGTAAACTATCTCCTTCACTAGTTTAGTATTGATGGTGACCGTTATTGCAATGATAACATGTTGGGTGATATATCTACCTTAATAACACTTAATGGTAAAACCAATGTCACCTGTTTCCTTTTTAAATGTGGCTACAAGAACATTTTCAGCTACAGACGCGAGTCCCATTACACCCCTATTGGTCAGTGTGAGGTGGGCTCTGTGTCCGGATGCTGCCTCTTCTACACTTCCCTCTCACACTGGCCCTTTCCTGGGGTATCAGTAATGACTGCATCCTTCCCCGCAGTTAATCTCCATGTTCTTCTCTTTCCCAGAGGAGAGACCTCTTCAGTGTCTTTAGGTTTACTTTTATCAGAGTTATATCTGCATATACTTTAGAGTCCGAGAGTTCCTGAGACTCACTCCCACACCCACACAGCACCTTCCTGACCAGCCAAGGCAACACCTGTGCCTCTTAAATCTCTAACAGAATGTTTGTCTTACTGCTTCTTGAGTGTTGGGGGCTCCAGCAATGTCTCCCCTCTCACCACGGAGGGTGGGAAATCAGCTCTTTATCATCACCCCACCACTGCAATACACACCTGCCCAGCGCCCTCCACCCTAAAAACTGAAGCATAATCCGGTCAGATCGATATTCAGCACTGGCCGTATTGGAACTATGTTAAATGTCATACCCAGCCGAGCCCTGTGATAGGGTATGATTCCTTTTCCTTTCCTACAAAACTTTGTTGTTGCTGTTTTTAGTGTACTTATTACAGATTCAGACTCAAACTTTCCCTGAATTGTCTGAATATCCTATGTGAGATGTTCAAACACACCTCGTATTCTAAGATTTCAGCTTCTTGGAGATATCTTTCTCAGAGGGTGTCTGGTAGATTATGTGAAATGTGCATGCCCGAAATCACATCTTCTCTACTTAGAAAGTGGACAAGATGGTTTAGCTGGGTATAAAATGCTTGGCTTAGAATCTTATTTCCTTTCAGAACTCTGATAGCACCTCTCCATTTTTATTTCCAGCTCCCATTGTTCTTCTTGGGAACTCTGATGCCATTGTGATTCCTGATCCTTTGCATGAAACCCACCGCGTGGGGGGCTCCTCTGTGTCATAGGCTGTGAATTTCATGGTGATAGGTCTTGATATGGGTCTCCTCTCTCATGTGCTAGAGTCACTTTCTGGGTCTGTTTGGTCTGAAACTTGTGATCCTCAGTCCTGGGAACCCTCCTACCTTCTTTGCGATTCCTCTTCTTCAAGTTCATCATTGTCTCTCTTGGACAGATCCTCCATGTTCTCCATTCTTTTCCTATTTTCCATCTCTTTGTCTTTTTTCTTCTACTTTGTAGAAGGGTGTTTCAAGTATCTGCCAACCTTTGTGCTGGGAGTTTGGTTTCTGCTATTCTACTTTTAGTATCTAGCAGCTTTTTTCCCCTCTCTGAATGTTCTTTTAATTTAACATCCTATTCCCCTTTTATGGAAAGAGTATTTTATCTCTCTGGGGATAGTGGCAGTTTTCTTTTTCCTTTAACTGTTTTCAATCATTAAAAAATTTTTTTAAGTAATCTCTACACCCAATGTGGGGCTCAAACTCATGACTCTCAGTCATGCACTCTACCAACTGAGCCAGCCAGGTGCCTGGAATAGTGGTAGTTTTTGAAGTTTTCATCTCTCTTTACAATGTCTCTCTCCCACCAGTTTTGTTTTTGTTTGTTTTGGTCTTCACCTTTGTGGTTGTGAGAGGCCTTCCTCAGATGACCTGTGATCCTTGGCTGTCTGCTCATATTTAAAAGGAGGACACTACACATCGTGTTGGAAGCTCATGTGCTTGGTGGGGGCTAACCGGCATGGGCCCTTACTATACAGTGACCTGACTCCATTATTTCATGGGTGAACCCCAGTCAGTATGTTTGAGTCTCTTCTTGGGTTGATCCAATCCCCAGGGGAGAATCTTCCATTCTCCTGCCTAGGGGGTCATCAGGATTCACTGTGGGATACAGAGACTAGGAAGAGAAAGGCATGTGTAGACGGAGACTACTTTCACTTGGGAAGCCTCACCTTCACCCAGACTGTCCTTGACACACTGTGTCCCTCAGTCCAGACACACTGTGCTTTGCCCTTCCTGGAGAACACACCTCCTGACTTCTGCCATGGTAAAGGGGTGGGGGTGGGGGTTTGCCTGGATGGAAGGAGTTGGACAGAAGACCTGGTGGGTTATAAACTGCTTTTAAAGTAGATTATGGGGGCACCTGGGTGGCTCAGTCGTTAAGCATCTGCCTTCGGCTCAGGTCATGATCCCAGGGTCCTGGCATCGAGCCCCGCATCGGGCTCCCTGCTCAGCGGGAAGCCTGCTTCTCCCTCTCCCACTCCCCCTGCTTGTGTTCCTGCTCTCGCTATCTCTCTCTCTCTGTCAAATAAATAAATAAAATCTTAAAAAAAAAAACAAAGTAGATTATCAACCCATCTTCCCATTTTTAGCCCCATTATTTATCTCTACTTTTCAAGACACCCAATACTAGTAAGTCCTGGGCTGGTTCTCAGAGTTCTCCTCTACTGGTTTAAGATTCTACTTTCTCCTAAGACCCAAGTATTCATGGATCTACTTCTTAGTCTGAAAGCTTTTGCTGCCACTGTTAGCCCCTGGTTTCCATGTGGTCAGGAGTGTTCGTGTATTTATGTGTTGTAACATTCATTCACTGTCATTTTAGTGGGGTTCTGGGGAGTACAGACGGATGCTTATGTTTTGGCATTCCTCATAGACCCTTCAGTTCTATAACGGCTATGTGATTCTTTCCCAAGTATATTCTATATTTTTATAGTTTCCAGTTCCCCGCTGAGACATTCAGACTCGCGTTTTGGCTTTGTAAACCTAAGTAAGCATATTTCTTTTTTCACAATATGTGTCTCATAATTCCAGTATCTTGAGTCCCTGCAGACTTGTTTCTGTGGTTTTTGCCGATGAGCACTCATTGTGTCACCAGCTCATGTGACAGGTTATCTTTTGATTATGTGCTGGATGCTGTGTTTGAAAAATTATTTGTAGAAACATTTTTTGACCTTGAATAAGGTGATCATCCTCCAAAGAGGATTTGCCTGCTTTTTCCAGGTGTGTGGGAAAACCAGCAATTTGGGATCACCGTAATCTGTTCTCAGATCTTGAGATTTTTCGAGCCTGCACATGTGAGCAAGGGCTGGTCTACTTCTGGTTTTCCTTTACTCCTCAGGGTCCCAGCCTAAACTGAGGAGTGGTTTTCTAGAGACAGCACCCTTGGTGGGCCCCTCAGCTCTGGGAGACTGCCGGAAGTGCAGCTCAGTGTATGCACTCTGTCCAGATCAGGACAAAAGCTGCCTTGGGTACTGGGTTCAGGACTCTGCCTTCTCCTGGCCCTTGAGCGGCTAACTCCTCACCAGATGAGGTTACTTCTTTTACATTTAAAATAACTTTATGGGAGCATAATATACATACAAATAGTATATATGTTATAAATGCAAAACCTGACAAAATGTCACAAATTGCCAGCCACTGAACACCAGCTCCCCAGAAACTCCCATCGTGTTCTCTTCCAGCTGCGCAGAGTCTCCTGTTCAGCCTCCCTATACTCTTTATCGGTGTCTTTTTATGAACAGAAGTTATTTACTTTAATGCAGTCCACATTATGGCTTTGTGTTTCTTTCATTGTAAATGCTTTTTGGTCCTGTTTAGGGAACCTTTGCCTACTCCAAGGTCACAGAAATGTTCTCCTATGTTTTTTTCCTAACGTGTTTCTTTGTTTGTTTTACCTTTTCCATTTGGGTTCGTAACTGACCTTATATGTGGTGTGAGGTAGGGGTCAAGGTTGGTTTGTTGTTTTCTTCCCGCCATATTGTTATCCAATTGATTGGGCACCCTTTATTGAAGAGACTATTTCTTGTCTGCACTGCGTTGTCCTCCCTGGGGTAAGTCAGGTGGTGGTACATAGGTGGGCATCCTATGCTTTTAACAGGACACTTCTCACATTTCGTCCTGCATTTGTACTTGTCTTGGGCAAGAAGATGAGTCAGTCACCTTGTCTTCTGTCATTGGCCGCCCGACGCCTCAGTCCCCTGCGATCCCCTGGTTCCAAGGCCAGCACCACCTCTGTGCTGCTGAATCTACAGGAGCTCTCTGGGTCCCACAAGTGGTCTGTGCTTCAAGGCTCCCGGCTTCCCTCCACCTAGATAACTGTGTTACTTTGCATGCACTCCTTTCAGCACTGCTGCTGGCAGAAGGCTTTTTTTTGAGATGCCAGCCGAGGGTGTGGCTTCTCCGAGGTGCCCACGTCACCTTGTGTGTGCTTTTCCTTATCACAGAATGTCCCATGCTGTGCTGTAGGGGCCTCACTGTCCTCCTCCCTGGACATGCAGGGCCTCCTACAGGGCAGGCCTTTCTGCCACCCTGCCACCCTGTGGGGATGCCCTCGACCCTTGTGCAGCCACTGGGCTGGGCTGTTTCAGACAGCCCTGGGCAGTAGGTGAGCACATGCCCGGCCTGGCCACCAGAGACAGCCCTCCCATGGTACTTCCACCAAGCCACACCCTTCAGGGAACCAGGGCTCACATCCTGTTCAGAAAGCTCCTATTTGCCCAGGACCCTCAGGAATGTGGTCAGAGGGTGCACCCCCCAGACCCCACAGGGCCGCGGTGAGATGGCCCCCCACTGCACCCGCAGATGCACGGGGCCTGGGTGGACAGCTCCCTGTGCACCTGAGAACACGCAGGGCCGTGCACCCCGAGGACACTCCCCACTGCACGCACCCCCAGGGCCAGCCAAGAGCCACCGTCATACCTGGCGACCGGCCTCATTGTTGTGGCGGTTCATCGCGGAGCGGGCGTCTGGCCGGTTCTCCCGCGCATCTGCAAACTCTCGAGACACCATGCCGCCAAACTCGATGTCCTCACTGCAGCCACCCCACTTCCAGCCCTCGCCCGGGGAGCCCTGGTGGCGGCTGCTGCAGCCACAGATAGCCGCGGAGCCCTCGGCACACGAGCGTGTCACGGCGAAGGCCACGCCGGCAGAGGCAATGGCGTGCACAAAGGCGGACTCCCGGGTGGCTGTGGAGAGAGGCGACTGGGTTGGCAGGACCTGGCAGGGGCTGGGGTGGTGGAGCCTGGCCCGGGGCATCGCGGCCCCTGGCTGGGCTGGGCCTGCGCCCCTGGGGGTGGGCGTGGGTCCCGGACTCAGTCCCCGGAGTGGCCAGGCAGGGCTGTGGAGGAGAGGGGTGCCCCCCACGCAGAAGACCCAAGGAGGAGGGCGAGTATCAGGAGAAAGTAGTTGGAGGGCCAACCAGCCCAAGGAGCGGCTCTGGACGTCACTCCCCATGAGGAGCTGCAAGGACCCCTGCAATCCGAGGGTCAGATCCTAGCCAGTGCTGGCCAGGATGGGCAGAATCGGAACCCCAAGTGCTGCTGGGGGCAAGGAAATTGGTGCTGCCCCTTGCAAAGTTGTTTGACAGCTTCTTAAAACCAGACACCTACCATGTGACCAGGCCATTCAGCTAGGTATGTGCCGGGGAGGAAACTCAGGTGCTCGCACGGACCAGGAAGCAAATGTCACGGCTACTTTATCTGTAACAGCCCCAGTCTGGAGGCTCCCAAACGTCCACGAACAGGTCAATGGATAAAAATCTGCGGCCTGAAATAAGTCAGTCCTGGGGATGTGATGCTGCTAACAAATCTGTTCTTTGTGTTTGAAAGGTTGCTAAGAGAATGGGTCTTCACAGGAAAAACAACCGTAGCCATGTGCTGTGATGGGTATTAACCAGACTGACCGTGGTGATCATTTTGCAATGCGTACATATATCGAATCAGCATGTCATACACCTGAAACTAAATATTATATGTCAGCCACAGCTCACGGAAAAAGGAAAATGGAATTCTGTCTAGCAGTAACAGAATAAATGGCATGAAAAGAAAGAAAAGGCAGATAGAAAACAAAACCTCCTTCTTGGGCCCCAACAGCCCAGGGTGGAGACCCCCCCTACCCAGATGTCTGCGCCGAAAGCTTCTGGCAGCCTAATGGCCTGTTTGGGTGGCAGCTCCTGGCCCACACACCGTCCACCTGCACCTCTCATTCTGCCTGCACACTTTCCCCTCCCCCCCCAACTCCAGGAAGGGTCACCCCTTCTGGGACCTGCTCAAGACCAGTGCACACTTTGCCCTGTGATGAACCCTGCTCTTGGGCCTGGAGACTCTGAGGGCCTCCAGCATCCAGGTTGCTGCTGACCCTGGGGGCTGGTTCGGAGGGTGCCCGGGCCCCCAAAGGCAGGGGGGAAACTGAGTCTGGGGAAGTGGTTTTGCGGAAGGGCAGAGGAGGAGGGCTGGAGCTTGGGAAGGAGCTGGTGAGGCTGACCAGGAGTGGACAGAGGCATGTGGGAGGCGTTGAGGGAGGCCCAGAAGCACAGGTTGTGTGGGGGCTTTGCAGAGGCTCGATCCCCAGCCAGGCTTCCTCAGACTACATGAGGGCACCGTGCCTCCTGGGTCTGTGCAAGCCCTGCAGCAAGGGTTCGCAGCAGTGATCCCCTGCAGTGGACGGCGAGGGCAGGGGGCTACTCTGTGTGAGCGGGTGGAACTCCCTCATTCCTCCACAAGTGCGTATGGAGCACCTGCTCTTTGCCAGGTTCTGCAGGAGGGAGCATGATGGCATCCTGGAGCTAATGGGCTGATTAACAGGGATTTAAAAACCGAGGTGAAAACCATGGGCTTTGGAGCTCGGTGGGCCTGGGGCTGAACCTAGGCTTGGTGTCTGCTGTGGTTGCGAGGTGGTCCTGGCAGCCCACCTTTGCTGGGCTGGCAGAAGGGAGAAGGGAGCAGGAGAGACGTGATGATGGGCCCGACCAGGCCTCCCATGCCGGGCATGGGGTGGGTGCCCTGCGTGTCCCCATGGTCCTCCTGGGCAGCAGGCCTGCATGGTACTGGGGCTCCCAATGGCTCCCATCATGGGGTGCGGCTGCCTTCCCACCCACATCAATGCCCAGGGGGCTTTTGTCTTGGGAGGGGGATGAGCAGGTGGGCTTCATCCTGGGGGGTGAGCAGAGGCGACAGGCAGAGGCTGTGGGCTGCTCCCCACACTTCCCCAAGCTTGCACGCCCCAAAGCCCAGGCAGGTAGAGGCAAGGGAATGGCGAGACGGGTTCCAGCCAGCAGCATGCACACACTCAGACTCACTCAACACCCGACACACCTGTCACTGAAAAACTTACATTGACCATCTCGTGCCTCTCCCCCACCCCCCAGGCCTTCCCGTGAGTCCAGCCCTCAGCATCTGTCACCTGCACCATCAGAGGCTCCTGAAGGGAACCCACACCCCCAGCCTCCAGCCTCCCCCATCCACGTTTGTGTCACACGTCTGTGCACACAAACACATGCACACATGCACAGACGTGCACATATGCAAACACATGCACATATGTGCACACACAAACATGCACACACACAAACATGCACACAAACACATGCACATATGCACACATGCACAGACGTGCACACATGCAAACACATGCACATATGTGCACACACAAACATGCATGCACACAAACGTGCACACACAAACGTGCACACACAGAAACACACATGCACACATGCATGGACATGTGTACACACAAACACATGCACAGATGTGCACATATGCAAACACACATGCACACACAAACACAATACACTTGCGTGCACACACACAAACACACATGCACAGACATGTGCACACATGCAAACATGCATGAACATGTGTGCATGTGCACACACACAAACACACACGCACAGATACATGCACACACAGGCTGAAGGCACAGCCCTTTGTTTCATGCCCACCTAGCCCTGCCTGGTCCCGTCTGAGTTCTTGGGGTTATGTCCTTGCTTGACCTGCACACAGGCCTGCCCCACCTGCTGCCCTCCCAGCTTTGGAGCTGCTCCCTGGCCTCCAGCCACACTCAGCCCCGTCCTCCCCTAGGGCGATTTCTGCTGTTCCCCTGGCATGTGCACCTGCCATTTCCCCTGTCTGCTCTTCAGGGTCCAGGCTACACTGTCTGGGTGTGGTCAGTGCCTGGTCACTCCTGACCACTCCTGAACCCACTGCTGATTCATCCCCTCCCCAGCCTGGAAGCTCCCTGAGGCAGGGACTGTGTTGTGTTCATCTTTCATTTCCAGGGGCCCTGGGCTGGGACAGGGAGGCCCAGCAGGATCTGAGCCCAGGGGCTGGTTCTCCATCCCTCCCCACTCAGCAACCTTCACTGTCCCCTTTCCCAAAGGCCAGCCAGTCAGCCGCTCCCCCAGATGCTGGACGCCCTTGCCTCGCTTTGCTTCTGTAACACGACCCATCAGGCAGGCATGGAGCTGCCTTCTGAGGGTCAAAGGCCTCCGTGAATAAATACCAGTGTGACCCGAACATGGACCACTTGTTCTTCTTCTGTCCACCCTCCAGCAGAGCCACGCCTTTACTCTGTCTTCCCGAGAGAATGTTCTTCTCTGAGGGTGGGCTTGGCTCCTTGCTTGCTCGCCCCGCCAGAGCCCCGGCCTGCAGCCTCCCCTGCACGCTGTACGGGGGCCTGCAGGTTCCTGGGCCAGGACTGTATGTCCTGGGCACTCCAGGAACCGAGTGCACACACCCAGGGCCTTTCCCCGCTGCACCCTCTGGCTGCTTCCAGCGGGCCGAGGCCCCTGGTGGCCCTTCTCCAGGCCCTGAGTGCCCGACCCCGGCCCAGAGGGCCAGAACCATTCATTTTGGAGGAGACTGAGATAAGGGGAGAGCTGGCGAGCCTAGGGCCTTGTCTCTTCCCCGAACAAGGGCTTGGCTGCTTATCAGGCTCAGGCAGACAGGCCAGGCCACCAGACACACTCCAGGGGAAAGACGTGCTCGGGGCAGGGAGGGGGGCTCCCCCTTGAACCCGGAGGAAGAACTCAGTCCTGCCCTGGTCTGTCACCAGCTGGCTGTGTGACCCTGCCCAGGCTTTCCTCCCTGTGGGCCTCAATCTCCCTTTCTGCCCCACGAGGAAAGGGCTCATCACACATGAAGTCCCGAAGGCTGAGGACACCTTTGTAGTCGGCCTTCAACTTGCTCCAAAGGAAAAGACGCCTCTGAGGAGAGGCCACGAGACCCACGGCCAGAACAGCGTGAGGTGGTTTGCTGTGGCAAAGACAGCCTGCTTAAAATGGAAGACGCGGCCTCCACGCAGTTGCAGACACCTCTCCCGCCCCACGTTGCCCGAGCGGTCAGGGCTGTGGGCACCCCAGGGGGCAGGCGGGGGACACCCACGGAAGCCTTCTCACCAAAGAATCAGGAAACATCAGACAAACCCAAAAGGCCTGCCCAAGCTCCTCCTATTCTTGAGGGCACAGAGGGCAAGGGCCCGGCGAACCTAGGATGGGATCCTGGACAGGCAGAAAAACAGGTGAAATCTGGGTAAAGTCTGGAGTTAACACTGATGGATCTTTGTTCTGATGGATGCAGCTGGATTTGTGGGTTGTCAGCCCTGGGGGGGGTCTGGGAGGGGATACGGACTCTGGGCACCATTCCTGCGATGCTTCTGTATGTCTACAATTCTTTCTAAAGAAGACATGAAAATACATGCTGAGGCCGTGCAGAAGGAAGACCTGCAGTGTGTCCAGGTGACACCCCACAGTAGTGGGGCTTCTGATCCGTGGTCTCTGGGCAGGTTTCACCGTGAGCGGGAATCAAGGGCATGCCGGAAAACTTGTGGGGTGTGTGTGTGTGTGTTTGGATAGAGAACCCATCGCTTTTACCAGATTTCCACAGGGGTTTGAAACAAGAAGGTCATGGTCTGACTGGCTGGGGCAGCCTCAGGCTTTGCAGGAGGTGGGCCAGGGCTCCCCTGAGGCCGTGGGTGGGGGGGCACAGTAAGGACTCAGACCAGGGTCTGGAGCCCCGGCAGCTGCCCCAGTCACAGCAAAGTTCTTAGCCACCGACAGCAGCTTTGTCAGAGGTTTCTGCTTCTGTTTACACAACAGAGGCAGCGAGGGCGCGGGAGGCGAGCCATCCCACCGTGGGAAGGGAATCACATTTTGGGAATGAGGTTGGAAACACCTCTGTCACCGTCACCG